TATATATATTGCTGAGTATTTTACAAAACAAAAGCAAGACATCAAGGGACAAAGGCAGCCAAAATATGTACAACAACTTCACTTAAAAAAAAATAATTATTTATTGTAACGTGGATAGACTTTCTTGAGTCTTACCATTAAAGACACACAGATATAGCAAAGGAAGCAAGGGTAGGAAAGGGAAGAGAGAGGAATGAAATGAGTATCGATAAATAGCGCAAGCTCAAAGACAGTAAGACAGTTAGCAACCCACAATGAACCTAATGAGCTGAAGTAACATAGAACCCCTTTAGATTCATAAATACCAAACTCCTGTTACTCCTAGCCGGACTATTTCATAGAGGGAGTTGCTAAAATAGAGGAAGAGAATTCCTGTGGGTGGAAGGAAGGCAGGAAAACTACGGCTAGAGATTTGACCTAATTGAAATAAAAAGATGTCTCTCTTTCAGTATGTCAAATTCTTAAGACAAAAGGAAGAAATCATCGCTCATCTCACCACCAACTTCAGTGGAATTTGGAAATTTAGAGACAGTCTTTTTTATTTAATTAGCTCTTCATTCAGCCTAACTTTTTTTGTTGCAAATAATGTCATATGCTGGCATATTTTAACCCCCGGTGGCCTGCAGCCTGCTTCAGTGAGTTTGACTCTCTCTGCTACTTGTTTTATCCTTTCTATTGGAGTTTATTCAACACTGTTGAGAAATGTCATTAAGCCAAACCTGAGCATCTCAGTGTAACCGACTGAAGGTGAAGTAATATTAAAACGCACTTTAATAATTTCACAATTATCTAGGTTATTTCAGGCAGCTCACAGAGTAAAAAACAGGAGAAGGAAAATCAGAGCCACACACCTTGCTGTTTATAACTTACTACAGAATTTGTCTTTTAAACTGTGTGCTATGAAACAGAACTGCTGGAAAGTACTGACTGAGTCTTGAGTCCCCATTCCCTCCTTCCCTTCCTCAAGTAACTTTCAGGAATTACACTATTTAAAATAACTCTCAACCACTTAAAATACATGTTTTAAAACATGTTAAATAACAGCCTATAAACAGCATCCTAAGCTGTCAGAAGCACTAATATCCTTTTTCCCTCCCTTCATCAAATATGCTGAAGATGATCCTCAGTTGGTGTAAACATAGTAATTATTGTGGATGTCAAATGGTCTTTACACCAGCTAAAGATTTCTCTCCTTATCTTCTCCTTCACCTCATCTTACAAAAATAACTTACACTTACGCTATCCTATGCAGCTGAAGGCTGAGCGATCCAGTTCATAAGGTTGGTTAAAGCTGGAGGTTCAGCTCTGTACAACAACTGATCAAACTCTTACATTCTCTGAGGAAGCTTCAGCTTGTGTAATACCCTACGCGCCTGCTGTCCTTTACAAGTGTGAGCTATAACAGAGTATGACCCACCTCCCAAATACAGATTATTAGGGAATAAAAAGAGGGATCAGTGTATCATACCGAGTAGCTAAGGATGTGCACAAATACCAAAGTGCCACTCACTGTCCTTTGTTGCGACCATTATAAATTCAGGAAATTTAACAGGGGTTTGTTTTGTTTTTCCTGGAACATGCTTGGTGTCATGGAGAGCTGCATCTTTTTCTAAGGATTTATGTAACTGCTTTTGAAAAGCCTGCATTTTCCTAAAGACATTATGGCACTTAGCCAATTAGCTTTCCATACACATATTACAGAAAGACAATAAAACTTGGGACCAAACAGCACAGTTTACAATTGGATGCCCCAGTCACCCAGGACAAAGCTCCTGGTATTTAAAAACAGTGCTGAATGAACTGCAATAACTACTGCCACAGTGAACTCCATATCCCAAAATTACGACAACAATCCATTCAAGGCTGAATAATTGCCCCCCCCACCCCCCCATTTTTTTTTTTTTAATAATAACAATCCTCAGCATCACTGTATTTTCCATTATTCCTTCAGAACTTGATGGGTCAGATCTGTATGCTCACATATTTATCAGACTAATGGACAATCCAATACTCCAGAGCAGACTAAAACCAGACACTGAACTGGTTACTGAAAATGAAGAAAACTACTACAATGCAAGAGGTGCATAACTAAAGAGGAAATGGTAAATAGCCCTTCTTAACGTGTTCTTACAATTACATTTCCTTCTCACTTTTAATAAAGAAAATGGGGAAGATATCATCTGTAAGCCAATCTGTGTAACAACCTCAGGACTTTTAACTATGATGCAATAGAAAAGAACTGCTTTCTTAGCACTGTTTTTGTATTATGTTTTCTGAAGTTTTATGTAGGATTGTACAGTTAAATGCACATCAGAAAAAACAACTTACCTCTTTTTCATCTCTAATAACTGGTTATTGAGTACTGATCTCTCCTCTTCCAGCTAAAACAAAAATACAAAAAGACTACAGTTAATACACTAAGGCTTGTCTCCTTAGTATAACAGAGCATCATTATCATCATAAAACAAACATGGGAGAGGCTACAGAGCCTAAAAATCCTCAAAGTAATCGATCTTCTACTAGGACAGCACACACACACAAACACAAATTGTTCAGTGACCAAGAATATCAGCTCGTGAGGGGCTATTACTGCTTTAAATAGTACTTCCACGTCCTGTGCACACAAGAGAGGTGTGAGGCTAGTATTGCTTTATACGGTATTTCCAGGCCCCATGCACACCAAATAGAACCATAAGCCTTTCTGCACCTGGCTATTAGATTTAGCCCCGTATTGGTAAATTACTGGACTTGCTGTTTTGACTTGGATAATTGTACTACTGATCCGTATTTGTTACTGTACCGTTATTTAGAGATGAATTATTGATCCCTAAAGCTGTTGGTCTGGTGTCTGTTACTGTATCCTGAACCTATAACTCGCGGGGCCACCTTAAGCCCTTACAGCCAGTAAGGCCTTCAACTGAAAATATTGTTGCTGCAGGTTCTTGGGGTCCAAACTGACAGGCACACATAGGTTTAGGAAAAGCAAAACAAAACAACCAACCATAATTGGTACAACAACAAAACTATAAAGCCCCACCACAGAAACACTGGGGTAACTGAACTGCTGACAAGGTGAAGAAATTAAGTAGTTTTCAGGCCAATTATTTATTTTTCACCATCTCCTCCTTTCTCCTTACTCAATGGCCAAGGTCAGCAATTACTGCCCTACAGAACTGCTTATAGTAGCAACTACCAGTGCCTTGACTTGAACACAATCTCTGTTCAGATTTCACAAGCTTTCAGGGTTCATCCACAAGGTTAGCAATACATACATTTATAATGAAAACCTCAGAGCCACGGGAACAGCAGCAAATAGTTTCTTATTGACTAAATACTTTCAGCACTTTGCAGACATTCATGTTTGGCATAGACAGGCATAGAAAGCATTAAGCAGGTTCCAAGGAAACGGAAGGTTGCCTGCCAGCCTCCAAGACCAGGCTAAGTGCAGCTCACCTAGATAAATTGCCTCCTCCATATTTTCTGACAACTTACTTTCTCCTTTCATGTACTGCAGTGCTGTTGAGCCTTCCAGGTTTAAGATTAATGGGATCATTTTGTTGGGGCTTAATGAGACAACTCTATTGATATGAAAAACAGATACTAGAAGGGTGCAGAGAGACTTACATTAAGAAGTCTTAAAATCAAAATGTGTCTCTCAAGGCAAGTGACCATAGTAAGACTGTGAGCAGCCATAGTACTACGGGGGTATGGCCAAATTTTTCCTGCAGGCAAGTCAAACCCAGCAATTTTCACTAGCAGCACAAAGTATACCCCCTGTTTCTGAGAATTTTTGTCTGCTTCCTACACAGAGGCAGCCTATATGAACACCTTACATCTGCACAGACTAATGACAAAAAAAGAGAAGGAAAAAAGAATATGAAAATTCTGAGAAATGTTTCATTTGTAAATCCCAGTGAGCTGCACCTCTCCAGACCCCCCTCTGACATCCATTTTATATGGCCCCTCTCCTCCCTCAGGCTCACGTTGCAATCTCTTGTGCATCACACTTTTCCAGCTGGTTTTTGGACTACTTTTCCTGTACCAGCACTAGCATTTCTCTATGGTCACACTGTGCAGCATTAAACTGGCCACGTTCCATAAACTAATCGCTTCGTTTCACCCTAGGCCAGCTTAACTTTCTGGTGTTTCTGCTCTTGACTGCCACTTGTAATTGGAAAAACCTCACACTGACATTATTCACCCTTTGCTCCCCAGAGGCCATGTCCACAGAGCTACATGATTCTCCCCCTCCAACCCCAAACACACCCCACCTTTTTATGGGTTTGTTTTAGGAAAAGATTGCGGTGCCTGTTTACCTCGGAAAATCCTTCAACATTTGTGGAATGCTCCAAGAATGTGAGCATAAACCCTGCATCTCTCCTCCCTTTTAGTTCCCTGGTTGGCTGTGGAGAGATGAGCGATTTTTGTACAGACCAAGACAGAAGTGGATTTAAAAGAGAGAAAAGTAAAGGACAAGGCGTTAGGGGAGTTGTGCAGCTTCTAAACCCCTGTGGCAGCTGCATCGAGCCATGGATCAAGCCTTGAGCAGCTTCATGGTAGAAGGGGAGAAAGGACACCCCTTCTCCCATCAACATTTCTTCAGCAATCTGCTCACTCATTAGGCTCAGAGCAGACTTCTCGCATACCTTTAATAAAAGATAGACCAGCTGAGCTAGTAGGTATTTCTGTGCTTTTTCCAATGAAGTTAAAATGCCTGGGCAGGTCTGAGGCTCCCAAAATGCCACAACAAATAATTTGAAGCCAGAAGAGCTCCCCGAGCTCAGTATCTATCTGAATGTGAATCTTTAACTAATTACAAACAGCTAATTATTTACGGATCAATACAGAAAAGCACCCCTCAGCATCTTTAGTATAAGACGCTTTAACCTTTAGATGTCAGGATAAATCATTCATGAAAGAGTATTCATTAATTTTGCAAAGTGTGTCACATGCAGCCACAGATTCACTAACCCAGTTGACTAACACACTTGCTAGAATTTATATTGTTACCATAGCGACTGCTCAAAATACTTAAAACATATGCTTGCTACCTTTCTTACTGCATTTTAATAGGCACATGCACAGAAACTCACGCAGACTGCTACATTCTGTGCTTTCCTCCCTACTGTCCAATTTTTAGTATCCACTGCAGAAAATGCAGCTCCACGAGCAATCCTGCTCTGTGTTAAACCTCTTCGTTGCCACCACGGACACTTGTTCTCTAAAATCTAATCGAGCAATTCTTCATAGTAACATTTTTTTCACTCCCCACAGACAGCCTGAACCAAGGAAGCCCCAAACATGCTGCAACTTGATGCCTAAACATGGTGTATGTTCACCCGAGGGACAGCAAAGCAGAAGCGGTGGTGGGGATCAGTGATACTGTGCTAGCCCAAGATAGGGCTGTCCGTGCGAGAATCCTCAAGGCCAGCTGGTTTTGTTGCCATTTCATTAAGAGAACTCAGCAGAGTCAGAGGTAAAACGAGGGGACTGGAAGTTCATATTCTGCAGGAAACAGGAAAAAAGTCCTGTTCCTCAGAATAATAGCAGGTTTCTATCACAATGAAAAGGATGGTTAGACTTTACATGCTCCAGATGAGACAGGGAATGCTTTTTAGGAGAACATCTGCCTCCACTCCCAAGTAACCAGGAAATACGACAGTTCTGGGCAGGTAGACTGCATGTTTCAGCAACGAGCCCTGAACAATACTGCACTGAGAAGAGCTGCACTCATGAGTTATGTGACACTTGGAAGGTAACCTGCATTTTAAATGACACCATTTTGCCTTTATTCCTTTTGCCACAACAGAGCTCCCTGGAATGCCAAAGCACTCTTCCAGTCTTTTAGGAGGCCGTGCAGTTCACTAGACCTAAAGACACCATAGCCCAAATATTACATTTATTCCAAAATATTACAAAATGCAACAGCCAGCAT